TATCCAGCAGCTCATTGCATCTTCAAAGCTGTTTTGTGATCTCAGAAATGTTCTACTGAAGTAATAATAAATAATAATGTTATTAATTATATATTTGACAAGTTGCAAATCAGTAAAATGTTTGTTTGTCACATTTGTTTGCCGCCAAAATATCCGATCTTTAATACAGAAGAAGTTCACAGTGAATTCAGATACAACGTGTATTTATATTTAACCAAAACCAAGTATCCACCAAAACCTTTTCTACTTTTGTTGCTTGAACCACAGGCAGGACTGCAAACAGTTTCTGATGGGGCTGGTGTGTATCTTGTACCCCCACCATTAACCCCCGACCACCTCCCGGTGACTCTGCTGCCATTGATAAATTGAGTTTAGTTTTGTATGAATGTAATTTCTAGGAGACATTGTTTTTTCCTGATTCACAAAGTAAGCCAAAGTCACAAATGGGGCTAACATAAGCTTGACATCCTTCCTTCTTTAATACAGGATGAACACAACACCAAGTGTATGGAAGCTGCTAATGCTCTGCAGGTGATTAAATTACATGCAAACAATGTAATGATTATCGGTGCTAATGTATGCAAGCTAGCCTAATTATTTCGTGCTTCCTTGGTGGAATACAACCCAACAGCACAATGGGTCAAAAGAGTGTTGTTACAGTAGAAACAGCTTCAAATAATAGGTTGAAATTTTTCAAACTATGCAGAATAGCTGTAGTATTATTATAGTTTATATTTTCCCACAAACAGTGAGAGGAATTTAAAGTTGAGTTCATTTTATTTAGTACAGAGTGTGACCTTAATTATAGCCAGATTAACCTAAGAAGCCCCGGGGCAAAAAATTGTTTCACAGCCCCTCCTGATCTTGGGGTTTTTGACTGTTGGTCAAAAAAAAAAAAAGGCATTCGAATATGCCAACTTGGGCTCCAGGGAATCATGATGTTGCTGTTTTCTGACAATTTATTCACTGAAGAATCAATTGATGCTTTGTCAGATGTATTGATAATGAATGTAGCTCTTGTTTGCAGCTTTACAGTTTTCCTATGAATGAATTAAACAACCTTGCCTGAGGTTTTCTGACATTAACCACTTGAAACACAGAAACAAATGTAAGCAACTTCATAAAACACAACATTGCAACAAATGAGCTCGATAAATATATATATATATATATATATATATATATATATATATATATATATACACACACAGTATATATACACATACATACATACATACTCCCCATTAGGTCAAATTCTTTGGAAATATAAAAATGTTTTTCATTGCTTCCTACAAAGCAGTTTCAAAATGATCTGGACTCAGTGGGATGTTCTGCCAAGAGCTTGGATGTGTAGGTTTGAATAATTCAATTAATTCGGATTAAAACTGTTGAATCAGATTTTATACAGCTTTGGAATAGAAAGGTCCCATGAAATAGCATCATTAGTTGTTATGTTTGTGGACTGTGCTGGTTGTAGAGTGGAAACAATCAACAGAAAATTAATCAACAACTATTTTGATGATTGGCTAGTCAAGTAAATAACACAAACACTCTTTGAGGATTGTGTGAGGATCTTCAGCTTTCCTGTGTTTTATATCACTTTAAATTGAATATCTTTGGACAGCTGATTGGAAAAAACAGGCCAAGTGAAAAGATCTAGACTAAACAATTAATAGAGAAAGTAATCAGTCGACTAATCAATAATGAAAATAACCTATTTAATGTCATTGCATCTCTAAATGGTTGGACTTTTTGGTTATGCCTTCTAGGGCAGCATGAGGTCACCACTGAAGATGACCTGTTTACTGGGAAGTTCAAGTGCCTTTTCCATGAATCTTTGGAGACAGGAAAATGCTCTTTTACCATTTCAGTCTCCTCCCATTTAGACTGACGCCACTGTCTCTATTCCTGCTGAACTCCAAAACTGCTCCCATACCTTCAGCCTCACAAAACGCTATTTAGATTTCATGTCGGGTCTAAATGACAGTTTTAAATCTGGTTTTCATATTTAGCTTTAGATTGGAGCAGTCATTTTGTTATTGCCACACAAATTTTATTATGAGGCTCCTTAACTTAGGGCTCAAAATAGCAATAACACCATTTTAATACTACTTAATAAAAATGGTCTTTTTAGGTGCATCCGGTGTAGCACTTATTAGCTGGAGATGACACTTGAAAACTGTGTTTGATTGACGGATTTTCCTCACTTTATAACCTCTGTTTCATTGTATTAATTATCATAATTATTAAAGTAATTTGCACTAGCAGGGGGTTAGTTGTTGCAGAAAAAGCTTTTAATTAAGATCTCCTCTTTCAGTTTCTTCACTTTAAGACTTTGACCTTCATATGCAGAGAAACATTCTATGTTGTTTTTCTGACGTCATATGGTGGTTGACTCAAGTTTCATGCAAAACCCAAAACAATACCTGTCAGCTTTCTTCATGTAAGTCAACATGTTGATATTTTCCCGGGAAGTGAGCTCATATTACATGAAAACCTTCTCCCACCAGGTCAGTATCACACACCCTCACTTAAGTTTTTTAGCTGGCCAGCAAAACTGTCAAAACCTCACACTCCCACGCCTGTCTGTGAGAATCTCTCTCAACATGTGTTGCCTTGTTACAACTGTTTTAATGTGGAGGGAATAAAGTGAACCCCTGCAGAGCACCTTTTGGCCTTCCTCTGAGAGACAAATCATGAGGGGACACACACACACTGATATCTAAGAGAATGCAGATTGCAACGCTTTGCCTTCATGTTTCACTACCGTTCACTATCATCATATCAATGTGTCACTCTTTTAAGTGAGGGGCAGAGCAGGCTGATGTTGCAGGCAGGTTTGTGCACATAAACTTTACAAAAGCAGCACCAATGCAACCTTAAACTCTAATAGTCTGTTCCAGCTTAGTGTAACAGATTAAACTGCATGGCACACAGAGGTACAGCAAATTCAGATTAATTAAAACGATAAGGCCAGTGTTACTTTCTGTTTTCTACTACCACCAAAAATCCCCCCGAAGAAACTAAAACCAACAATTAATTTGTCTGTGCAGCCACAGCCTGATGTAGCTCATGCACCTCCATTGTTATTGTTGTTTATTACCAAGACCATGCAGCCATGTTCACAGCTCTGTGAGGCGATAGTTAGACACAGCAGTGATTTGCACTATATGCTAATGTCACCATGATGTTTGGCAGGTATGTTTACTACGTTCACCATCTTAGTGCAGCACGTTGTCATGCATTAAGGGAGCACCTATAGCCCCTTTTCCACTGGTAAAAGAAAAAAACCCGCTAACATCAATTGGCAATGATGTAAACACAACACCCAGGTGAACCCGCTAATTTTCGCCCCTTTTCCTGCTGTGACATCTTTCAGAGCTCAATCAATGTAAACAGACCTGTCACCTGTCCAGCATGGTGCTGTTAAACAAGAAACACCACGGCTATGCTGTGCTCCGGGATGAAAGAGTGAGCTGCAGCCCTGAAATAAGTAAAACACACAATCACCGATTGAGAAGCGCCTCACACGAACCAACCCGAGGATGAGACACGACAGATCCATTTCACTAGTCTGCATGGCAACTAACTGCTCACTCTCACTTATACCCACTAATTTTGAAAAAGGGTATATGACTCTTTTAAGGCCCCCAGAGCGGGAGGACTTGTCATTAGTTTGGTTTGTTTTGGTCAAACAGTAGTAGTAAAAGTAGTATTGGTCAAAATATTGGACAAACTGAAATAATGACCAGTTAATGTTGCTGAGGTATTTTACTCAAATCCCCAAAATCCTTGGGAACCGTGAATGCATCTACACAATTTTGCACCAATCCATCTGGTAAATATAGATATATTTCACTGGATAAGTGATGAATTTGACAAGCTGGAGCCACAGCATGAAGAGTCACAGGATCACCAAAATCATTAGGATTCATCCTCTGGGAACCATGAATATCTGTACAAACTTTGATAGAAATCCATCCATTACCTGTTGAGATATTTTAGTCTGGACCAACATTCTTTCATTGTTGGTAAGTGTAGTTTAGTCTGAAACGACTCATTGGCAGCATTTTTGATTTCTGACATCATGCTTGGGCACATGTCACTGAGCTAAGAGGAGTCCATGTTTAAAGTTCTAATGAAGGCTTTACTCTGACACAGATTAGTCAGTCCATTCAATGAAAATGAAATTCACTAAACTGATAAAGACTCTTACTTTTTATCACTTCTGGGGAAAATGAAAACACTGCAGTTCAGTAGAAATTCAGTGCAGGGGTAGCACACCTGTTTCCTCTTAGGGAATAGAGTACACTTAAGCAATATCTGACCGCAGCTACACACAGTACTTATTAACAGGATAAATTCATTGTTGGTACAGTTTTCTGAGCAGAAACGCTGTTATAATAAAAGGATGAAATAACACTAGCTTTGTCTTTTTAACATGGTGATTCCATACTCACAGGAATTAAAAGTTATGGTCCATCCTTTGTGTTGCTTTTCAAAAGTCTGCAGCAGAGAACTTCATTTGAAGGACTTTGGTTTTGGCTAACCGAGACTTTCCTTGGATGCAGAGATGTTTCGCTGGCCTACTCTAGGAGATTTTGGCCCAGGACATTTCCCAATTACTGTTCAAGTGTTTTACGAGGGGTGATGGGGAGGATAGGACTGCAGACTTTTGTGGAGCACAAAGGGGACTCGTGTTTTATGTTGGGAAGAGGTTGGAGGGAAAATCCATCGGGTTTGTGGCTGCAATGGATGGCCACTCACCCGTGTCAAACTTCTGTACAAAAAGCTATTCCGTCTGCCCGCCTGAAGAATATCTCCAAGAACAATGTGCTGTAAAAATGCCGAGTGCTGACGTAAAGAAAGGCTAAAGTTAGGAGTTACGGATATCTAAAATCCCTTAGTGTCACTTGATAAGGTCATGGCACTTTTCTAATGAAAAGACAGGGTTTGAGGGGGTGGGGGAGTACAGAGCTTTATGACTGAGGAGGACTTACCAGTCCGTCGCAGTTGTTAATAGCAACCGAGGCCCCAGGAACGTCTGAGATATCGCCGATAAAGGTGCAATCCGTCTTTAGCAGCTCGCGTCGCAGTATCCTCTCTGTCCCGTTGCTGGTTTCAGTATGGTTGGTGTCTGTGCTGGGGTCATCACCTGCACTGTCGCTGACGTTCCCGAATCCTTGAACCTCGTCGTGCCACTCCACCATCGCACCTGGGGCCACCAGCCTGTTGTTAGGGCGCAGGCGGAGGTGGAACTCCTTCCCGAAGGCGGTGATGTTGAAGAAAAGTTTTTGTTCAGCTTCACTAGAAGAAAACACCTCTCTCTTGACGCGCTGCTTATGAGTGGCTGAGAGCAGGTGTGACAGGTAGTGTCCGTGAGAGTCGGTGCTGAAGGGAGTGACCAGGCCATACTCCTTCAGGCGGCTCCTCAGCTGGTCTGTAAAACAACACAATGACAGTGAGACATTTTTTTATTTTTCTATTTCAAGGCAGCAGGAAGTTGACAAAATAGCAACACACTACACACATCATGTTTTATTTTTCAGTCCAAATGTTCATGTGATGTGAAGAGAATAAAATGCTCAGAACTCTGTGGCTCTCCAGATACCAAAATGACACTTCTGGCCCAACATATGCCTGGGTCCTCGGCCCACGAGTCCGGCCCATATACCATATACTTTCACATCCGGGCAGATTCCAGCTGTTATTGTCCAGTACTGACTGACAGCTGGAAGAATTTCTGTGTGTGTGCCAGAATTGGTCCAGATGTGGAAGTATCATCTGACAATGATGCTGTAGCATATTACTGTCATCTATCATTATATATCATTATCATCACACCATGAATTCTCCTTTCAGGTAGGATTTGTTTGCTCCTCTGGCTTAATATTTGAAAGGTAAACCATAGAATGGGTATTACAAAGCCACACACAGGTGTTCTACCTGAAATTTTAGCTTGCATGTATTTGATTTGCCAGAAGAGTGGGCGTTGGACAGCACTTTGGCAGAAGTTAAGCCAGGATTGCCTGTTTTGTCTGCTTTGCTGGAGCCCTTGCACTGGCACAGACGCTGTGCTAATCTATTTGTCTTTGAATGAGAAGCTTTTGATTTTTTTTATGCTATCATCATTCTATGCATGGACTTGTTCTCCATTAAGGATGAGCACAGGCAGAAGACTGATCATCAAGACTGATGCCAATGTGTCTGATGCAGCTACAGGGGGAAGCACTGCAGTTAGAGAGTGTAGAGAAGAAAAACCATCTGTCCAGGAGTTCTTCATAAGCTGTTACTGCCTTTAGCATATCCAAAATAAATACCTTGTACCAAAAAATATGCATCCTATACTGGATGGTTGTCATTATCAACCCTCAGGCCCGTGTTCATTGGCAAATTTGTGGTCAACTCAATTGTAGAAGGAAAAATATGTGGGCATAGTTTAAAGGAAATTTCCACCCAGAGATTGGTTTGCTTTTCAAAATGTGTGCAATGGCAGACACATTCAAAAATGTTTTGGTTAGTTTTGGTTGGAAAAAAAATGTAACATGAATTTTGAAACCTTGTAATTATCTTATAGGTTTTGACTTTCAAACAGGTGTCAATGGTGAAACTCAAATTACATGTCTTAGGAAATTACATGCTTTACAAATCATAGTGTCCGTGCTCTGAACATGTGATGAAGAAAAAAACAAAACAAAACAGAAAAAACATGCATTTAAAAAGACACATGCAAATATCACAGTGTCAATTTGATAATGATATATGAAATGAAACACTGAACTTTGAGGGATGGAAGCAGCTTGATCACACTGACTTTAACAGAACAACACAGACAGGAAACAATGCTCCTCTGTCAAAACTCTACAACCAAAGCAAACTGCAGGCACGTGTCTGGTTTTGAACATGCAAAAAAATATCAAAAGCCTTTTTTTTTTTTACAAAGCAAATACCTTATGGTTACATCATGTTAACCTTACTCCTTCCACAAACATGAATGACACAGAGTCAGTTGTTTGATACCGATATGTGAAAAGGTTGTGCAACATGTGTAGAGCTGATGTAAGTTTAGATAGAGCATTACATATTTCCCCACAGTTTGCTTTTTGTGAAAAAGCCGGTGTGACAAATCTTTAAGGGATGAAAAAGTTATAGAGCCATGGGTCAAAGAGAAGCCAAGAATTAGTTCAGTTTATTAGTGTGCATTTGCAAGAGCGAGGTTTCACTGCTTAATCCTCCGGAGGCCCAGGTCTAATCTCAAGGGCCATTTCCCTGACTTAGAAGAAAGAGCAGATTTCTGTACATTCAGACCTACACGCCAATGAAAGCTTGACTCAAATCTTCTGTTTTTATTACATTAAATAGTTATGACAAAAAAGGCAACTATTAAAGTAAGAGTTTGAAAAAAAACCTCCTTACTTATCTAATCCTTAAAATTTTCAAGAAATCAAAACATATTATTATGGCTGGTATTTTTTCTGCAATTGAATGCATTTACATTTAGTAATTCTCTCTCTATACAACACTTTTTATTGGTAGCATTTGAGGGATTCACAGAAAAACAATGCATCTAATTCAACTTCATTTTATCTCATTGAACAGCTTTAACAGTTTAATGTTCACACTCTATACACTGTTTACACTTCCTATAGCTGCTGTTTCTCATGTAAAGTGTTGAGCTGGCAGAGTATGGGGTGGATTTTATTGTCAAGCAGCCACCGGAAACACAATGCTTTTATCTTGGACGTGCTACCTTCAAAACTGGAACACTGTGATTTTCGAGAGCAGATCATTTTTATAATGTTTACAAGGGAGTAATGGAACAAGGAAACAGCCATGGTGAACTATTAAATGAAGAGTTTTAGGTGATAAGTTGTACACCTGCCCTGCTGTCAGCAGCGTATGAAATCAGATTGTTGGTTGCAATTATATGACCAACTTCTTCATTAAAACAGCATGAGTTTGTTTGGCTGCACTATAAACAGATACACCTGTTGTATTTCTAAAAAAGCAACTCCTCAATGAGTGTTTGCTGTAGTATTAAACAACACTACATATCAACCCCTTAAATATTAAACCTGCAATTGGAGATTTTTGGCCACTTTGAACAGACTTTAGTTTGCAGCACGTATGTAAGATTTACTAACCCAAGCTGCATGATGGATGGAATCCATTTATTTTGTGTAAGAAAAATAAAAGCTTACTTTCCAAGGGCTACACTCAGTCTCTGGGGTACAGTATATGACTTGAACCCACAAGCTCAAAATCCTGAAGTTGGAAGTTTACAAGGTCAAATTTTAACTGTGGAGCTGTACCTATTCTCAAAAGAGCCACAGTTGTCCACAGTTTTGAGTGAAAGATGAAATACATTCAGTGAATAGCGAGCCCAGACATGACTTATACTCTGTCTTTTAGATTATACTAAAAGGTCATCCACTCCAATGCCTATTGGCACACATCCTTCACTGTCACACAAAAAAAGCCACTGTCATCTCAGAATACACTTACAGTGTCTCTATTCAAAATTATGTATTCTGTCAAAGTGGAAAAGGCTACAGACATTTATGTTGAAGGTTTTTCTCGATTCTCCGTTACAAAAGTCATTCACTAGAAATTTCATTAAAGGCCTTGATTTGAGGAGAATTACTGTCTAAGAGCAACTTAAACCAATATCATCCAAATGTGAAACACTAAATATATATCGCTAGGTTATTACAATGTAAATTATTGGAGGTTTTAACCTTAGAATAATTCAGTGAAGGTATGGATTGAATTGTTAGCAATCAGGTTACTACATGTGCACAATGAAAGGAACATTTGCAATTTAAAATTAATGGTTTAAATGGTATCTGGCTTTTGAGATGCCTGAGAGGCACACATCTCTTCTTTCATGAGGTGCCCAGTTCATTGTTGCAGATTCAACACAGCACAGGTGATGAAAACATCCAACCAGGTGTGAAGCAGTGTCAAAATATTTGTCTGCGGCAAGAATATTAATCCTCTAAATTCATTGATTTGTTTGCTTATTTGTGTGAAACATTTCTATCAGATTTGGTGGAAAGTTCAGCCATAGGCCAAGGAATATGCAAGTTGTTTTTGGTATCCGTTATTTTTTGTAAAATGTAGATTTTAAGTTCTGAAAAAAAGTGAATTGCTTCATTAAATTGATTCTAAAGGCTATAAGTGCAATTAATTTCTTGTCCATGACCTCTCAAAACCTCAGCCAATGTGCATTTAGCCTTGTCCAACCACACTCAGCAAAGCAAAGTTTATGGACTGGTTTTGCAGAGCTAGTGCGCAGACAAAGACCAAAAGTAAGATTGGCATCCCGTACTGCACACAGTCTATTTTTTGCTAGGAGAAATTAGTCTCTCTGCCCCTGCTATGATGGATTTCTCCATTTGCATGACTGTTGAACATCGGTGCAAAATGGCAGCTCCCCAAAGACGCCCTTGTTCTTTGATTGTGAGGGTCTGACACCAGACCATGATATTTATTGTACAGGTTTGAAATGGCTTGAACCGCTTATGTTCTCAACCAGCAAAAACACATCTCAGTGCAACATCTGTTTGGCCAGTTCTCCACAGTAAGGGCAAAATATGTTTCCAGCACAAGCATGAGGTACATCACCAATGGTTGTTTTAAAGCTTAATCAATAAATGGATGGATTTTATGGATTTTTTTCTTTTAAACGCTGCTGAATTTGCAAGGAAAGGATTTAGTGGGCACCAACAGGAAAACTGCCTTAGCCGTCCCCATGCATGATGGCAACCTGGTGCTTAAAGATAAAGATGAGTGGCAATATCTTATAAATGAGTAAAGAAACATTGAAAAAAATTAAATTAATATTTAAAAAAAAGTCTTTCCCAGTCACCAGATCTCTACTCAACCAAATAATTATGGGACAATTTGGAGTGACATGTTGCACAACTGTCCACCACCTTTGTCAAAACACCAAATGAGGGGAAATCTTTTGGAAGAATGGACTTCATCTGTACATCTTTGAGTACCTGACACACCATGGTGGCCTCAAAGATCCAGCACTGACAAAAACTGGCTGATGCACCGCCTCAATTTGTAAACTTGTGAACACCACAGAAACTATAACCAATGCCAGCATGAATATATTTACACAGGACTGTCATTTGCTCATGGTTTAAGTATGCTTCAAATGAACTAGTTTGCACACTTAAAGGCAAAAGTGTTCATAGCTCTTCCAAATGGCCTCACTCAAAGGTGGGTCAGTGAGCCTAAAGAGAGACAATATGTAATAAAATCTACAAAAGGAGATTATGGTGCACCCTTTTGGACAGTCTTGCTTCTAAGGCATTCATCATGTTGCACTTCGGAAAGCTAGAAAAACTGTTGGATGCAGCCTCTCAGTTCCAAGGTCAGAAAGGTCTGGGAAGAGCTGGATATTAGAGCCTATACAACCATCTGACAGGTTGGAGCACACTGACACCTTAAGAGCCCTGATACACTCAACTGCCCCCAGAAGAACTAGTGATAATTATAACCGAGTGATGCAACTTGAAAACCTATGAACTTGAACAAACCACAAAGTCTTCAGCCAATGATCACCTGACCGCCGGGATGTATGAAGGTGCTGCGCTTTACATGAGAGGAGAAAACAAAGTCTGTCTTTCTAACATAAAAAAAAACTGTTTTCATATCTGCATACTTTCACACCTCTACACACCATGCCAATCGTTATGTAATGTGGCTACGATTGCTGGATTGTCTGATGCTGATTCCATAGATGGAAAGGTGGTTTCAGATTCAAAAACATTTTTGTTTACTTATACCAAACCTTGGACTTTTTTTTCAGCCAGGTTTGCCTGTACAAGTCAGATTCTCCAACTTACAGTAACAGTAACCTGCAGCTAAGAGAGTTTTTTTTTTTTTACCAATTATTTAACTGTATAAGCTGTCATGCCAAAATATGCCAGTAAAAATCACAAAACTTCAATGATAAATTCACTCATACTCTAAAGAGAAACTTGGTGAATGCAACAAGTTCTCTTGGAGCATTGTCAAACCTATGCTGTTTAGTCTGGTTGAATCAGACTCTGGTTCATTTTCCCCCTTGGTACAATTCGTTTGGGCAGAACACCACAATCAAGTACTTGGGTGCGGTCCAGGTCCAGTCACAAACTAATCCTGGAGCGGTTTGTTTGTGGTAGGAACATGATCCGATGTTGATGTGACCTAACTACAAGGCGAACTCTGCAAGTTGAAGCTAAACGGCTCCTGCAGCCAGGTGCACTTTGCATACTGTGGGTGAGCAAAATCAACAGTTTTGGACTAGCAAAAAAGTTTATTGGCATGATTTTTTTTTTCTAACACTGAACCAACAGAAAAAGATTACCAATTCATCCTCTAATTCGAACCAGAGGTAATCAACTATATGTTTGAATCATCCTTGAATCACTCGTACATACCATTAAAGAACCAATCTGTTCATACAAATGGCCCTTAATTGAGACCCATTGACTTTAACTTGTGGAAGAAGGTGAAAAATGAATAGAAACCACACTAAATGGGTGAGGTAGCTGCTTTACAAGGCCGATAATGGCCAAGTGGAGCTAACGGTGATGGACTGCATAGGTGACAGCGACCACAAACGCTCAACTACAGCCCAACGGTGCTTGACTGCCAACTGTCATCTTGCTGTGTGAGGCCCCTTGAGGTGTTCAGAAGATAACAGCGGGTGTAAAAGGATCCTACGTGGACACTGTTGCAGCTCACTTGTTTCTTAACCTCAGAATGAATAACAGATGTGCAGGATTTAGAAGTGGAATTTTCTTTCCTGTATAACAAAGCCCTTGAAGCAGTTTGCTCAGTTAATATAAGTGTGTGTGTGTGTGTGTGTGTGTGTCTGTAGGGGGAATGGTGGGGTGGTAGAGGAGGGTAGGAGGGGGGTGTATTACAGAGCTCCTCACTCACAAACTCCCCTCCCACTTTGATCTCAGTGCACTAAGTTGTCCTCCTGAGTTTCTTGGGGTAAAATCTCCTCTATTTTCTCAACAACTTATTCTAATTATTAACAAGAGCAACAAAAAAAATGAGCAGGACTTACCCTCTCTATCTACTTCACCAGCCTGTAAGAGAAGAGAAAGCTCGTTAAAAGCTGTACACGCCAGAAGGGAAATCATGATCTGAGAGGCTGAGATGTCCAGCAGCAGCAACACTTACCGCCCTGCAGCAGTTTACTGTAGGGCTGAGCTGCTTGTAAAAGTTTAACAAAAATGCCTCTATTTTACATGTGTTATGTAACAGGCTAAGCTCATGCGTGTGCAGTGTCAACATGTATTTCACAGAGGAAGCAGTGTGCAGCATTTACTCAGCCAAATGTGAAAGCTCTGAAAGAGAGTCTCCGGCCCACTTCTTCGATTTTAACAGCTGGATTTCTTTAATATTAACGAGGTCGGTTTAAATTTAAAAACAAAAAAATGCGCACGCTTGTGTGTAAAATGAGGCAAAGCGGCGAAGCGGCCAGACACTTACCTTGTCAGCTGAAGTCAATACAAATCCTACAAGTAGTAACGCTAGTGACAGGACAGCCATCACGAGTCTTAAATGATAAAGAAAAACTTTATCCCAACGTCAAATAAAAATAAAGTGAGAAAGAAAAAATCGGGAAAAGAAAAAACTCTCTACGCAAGCGTGACCCGGCTCATTCAAAACTTATCAAAGTGGATGTACAGGCAGTGCCTCTGCTTGAGTTTTAAAAAAAGAAGAAAAAAAAGTCATAAAGTAGTTAAAGTTTCATTAAAACAGGAGTGAGGCGAGTTACGACACTTTGTCAGTCAGTCAGTGTTTTCTTTTTTTCTGTTGACTGAGTTTTCTAGAAAGTTTTGGTGAAGTTAGTAAGACATCCCCTCTGCCGCTGGCCGGACAGAGCTGCAGTGTGAAGCTCTCGCGACCTGGCACTTGGCTCCTCTGGCTAATAAACGGCAAGACCAGCCCTGTGTGACGTCATTCTGCCCTCTCCTCCAGCCTGAACACATGGTGGGACAGGGGAGGAGGAGGAGGAGGAGGAAGATCCCAACTCCCTAAACTTAATCCCTGGACAGCACAGGGCAGGCTGCTCAGTACACACACACCCACATATTTCAATATCAATATAGAAAACGACAATAATCCTATCCGTCCTTAACCTGAGCACATGGTGGGGCAGAGGAGGAGGAGGAGGAGGGAGATCCCACCTCCCTAACTTCATCTCAGGACAGGACAGGATGAGATAGGCAGTACAGTATACAGGCTAAATAACCACATATCTCTATATCAGTGTAAAAAACAACAATAACCCCATGCCCTAACATCACTATGTCCTTAAACTGAAGACATCATGGAACACAGGAGGAGGAGGAGGAGGAAGATCCCACCTCCCTAACCTTATGCTAGTACAGCACAGGATGAGATAGGCTGCTCAACATGAACGGTAAATGTATAAATAACAACATATTCATCAAGCAATTTTGAAAACAACAATAACACCCCTTTGACCTGGAATAACTCTGCCCTTAAAATGAAAACATGATGGGACACAGGAGAAGGAGGAGGAACTCCCTCATCTCATCTCATCCCAGAGCAGGACAGGATAACACAGGGTGCTCACCATTAATGATAAATATATGTTAACTTTGTTTCAACTTATGGTAAAAGTTACCATGAGGTTTCAAACAAATGAGCTAAACTTAATAAGATGTCTCTGTCCACCGGTCTGTCTTTATTTTTAATATTTGTGTGGAAAATACAATGCCTGTGTTATGAAAAAGCAAATGTGAATTTCATGTTTTCACATGGGAAATGTAATATTTTATTTATGTGGCAGTTGCAAATGTATGTATCACAAGTCTCTTTATATGTGAATGTGACACGTGATTACATCATGTGAAGTTATCCCATGTGAAATGTGAAAGAAACACATGACTATATGTAAAACTGTTCATCAAATAGTTTCTCACGTGATAAATGTGTGACATATTGACATGAGTCTGCTGATCACCACGATAATCAATTCATTTCATTATCACTATCATTAATATTACCATTATTATTACTACTAGCTGAATTACTGAAACAATGGTAGATGTAGAAAGTGATTCAGAGGTCTGGAAACAGGCTACAGCTGTTGGTCAATGTCTGAATGTTTACTATTACCTTTCCATTCTCAAATAAAAAAGAATAAAGAAAGACAATAGGAGAAACATACTGGAAAACTGAACAAATTGTAAAATAAAATACAAAAAAATGTAAATGATAAAATATTTCTCAGATTATTCTGTCAGAGAGATTAGGAACAGAGGAGCCAAAATTTATTAAATACTAATACCATCATTCCCATTGAGATTACTTTTTAGTTGTTCATGGTTTGTAAAAGATATTTTTTCCCTCTTATTTCTTTAATCATCTTGTTACCCCAAGGTGAAGTCCTGACCCCCATGTTGGACACCACTCCACTAGCATATGCTGATAGTGACTGTGTTACAGGCAATAATAACTATCACACCTACCCTTCCTCTTCTGAACACATGGTGGGACAGGAGAACAAGGAGAGGCACCCAGCTGCTACAACCAAAACTGTGGAGGAGAAGAGAAAGAGGAACAAATACTGGTGATAATAATAAGGAAATACATACAAAATAAAATATACATGAAACTCCAGCTATATACTGATAATAATTAAAATTATTTTCTATTTTGGAATAAATTTCAGTGTTTGTCAAAGGAAAAGTTCCTTTTTTTTTAATATCAATTTTTTTTTTTTACTGATGAACATTTTCTCTTTAGCTTCATTTCTCAAGTATCTGACTCCAACGTCGCAGCTGTGAGTCTTAAAATATTCCAATAAGTGAAAACATTTCACATGAACCATTTATGAAAGCAGCAGAGTTCCTGTCTCAGCTCACTGAAAAGATCCAGAGGGCGAGAGCTGCATGTAATATCAGGTTAGGGGGCGTAGCAGTCATTTGCAGTAATATGAAATGCACTCTGCCTCATTTCTGACTGCTCATCATCTACTTCTTTCGCCTTCTGTCTCTGTCGTCTTCCATGTTGAGGCGCCCTCTCTAAGGCAGAAATGCCATGACTGCAGGTTTGAGAAAGGACCAGTGGGGGATTTCTGTGGGGATTGCATTAGTGTAAAATGTCTCCATTGAATGTCAACTTAACAAGCAGGCAAATGGTTTGGGCCCACACTTTCTGAATAGCAATGACATTCATAAATATTGATGGGTTCATATGAACAGGACATTTGCTATTAAAGCACCTCCAACTTGCAACCGGAATTCAAAAGGCAGCTGGGAAATGTAGAGGGATCAGGTTTTGTTTCTCAGGCACAGGTATCTACTGAGAGGAAGTACTCACATCCTTAATCGGGCTCCCTTTAAGGGTGTCATAATATAAATCTGAGGGGCCGTGAGGTGATTAATTAGTAAAGAGGAAACTCTAACTAAAGTTCTGCTACACAAAACAAAAAAAATAACCTTTTTCTTTTTTGCACTGTTGTGAAATATCAGATACTTTGAGGGCTTTGGGCCACAGTTATTAAATTGAAACCATGTGAGAAGTTTAGATAAATATGTAAAGTTTCCCTGCTTCCTTAAAAATGTGAGTTAAATTATTTAAAACTGAATAATTATTTCAAATTGACTCATGATTGTGAAAATATGTTCATTAATTTCAGAAAACAAAGATTTCAGATGTCAGGCTGAATGAGTCATGCTTTCCTTTTACATTTGACAAGTGACCTTGTCAAATTAAAGGTGTATGAGAGCAGGAACTGAATTTGATATTGCTCTTCTTCAATTGTACAGTCTCTGTTAATAATATTATAAAGAGCGGGATATAGACTCGATATGAAAAGTGACCTGAAGTAACTTCTGTTGTGATTTGGCACTATATAGATAAAAATTGATCTCATTACTATAAAAAGAAATACCTGTTACTTAGCTTAATGTGTTAAAAACACACAGCAAGTTTCCATCATGTGCTCTTCAAATTATAATAGAAAAGGGTCCAGAGAGTTTTAGCACACAAACAATTCATGCTGGGAAATCTATGCTGGTCATGTTCCTTAAAAAAATTAATCAATTAATTAATTGAATGAGAACATTAATTCAAGTGATTTTTTCAAGTCAAAAGACTTGAGTCGGAACAGGTTTGAAGTGGTGTGGTGGTCTGAAAAATAAATAGAAAAATCTATTTGACACAGAATTGACTTAAAATTTGTAATTTTAAATATTTAGGTCAAGTTAATGACGGTTAGTTCCACTGAATTCCGGTATTATGTTTAACAGTAGACATCTGAAATGTGATGAGGGGCCCAGCAGTTAGCAGCTGTTTTATTATCTTCTCATATGTTTCTTACAGTATGTACCTATAGTGACATAGCTACAGTTATCAAATAAATAGTAGTAAAAAAGTACAATAGAGTATAAAGTAGCATAAACTGGAAAGTAAAGTACAACTATCTAAATATCGTATCGAAGGAAAGTAAAGTACATTTACATAATGACCTTCCAACAATACTCCTGAGGTGGTAAAATATATCACTTCTACCTCAGCCAAAGGCTTGTTTCTGTAATGTTTTCAGGGAGTTTTGACCTTTGACCTCTCTGTTGGCTGCTTGTTTTAATGTTCAATGCTCATCTGAAGCTGAACTTTTCCACTCACTGTCCATAACTCGAGGGCATTGACCCAAAATGTTGCAGCAGCTCTTATACCTCCCGGACAGAATTGGCTGTGTGACCTCTCCGCTAAAGAAATCTCTTTGATTTCTCAACACTGGAAGACAGATTTAGTTGTAATCTGCTGACTTTGGTGTTTTTGAGGTTCTTTGGTGTAAAGAAATTAAAGGCCTCACTCAGGGACATAAGCATAATTGAAGAACACATAAAATGAGCTTGAACTAGGCTCACATCGGTCCTGTAGACACACTACCCAGATGATGATCATAAAAGTTTCATTTTTCAGTTTACCTGATGAGATACGAGAATCACAATTATGGGAATTTTCCCTTCTAATCAGAACCCAATATATATCTGTCTATCTGAGTTTTTTTGTCCTTCACCAGAGCCCATAGGTAGTTTTAGTTTAGCTATTTTATTAGTTTTCATTTACGATGACAACCTTGGTTTGTACATGCACTGAACACCTCTACTTTCGTTAGGTTGGTTTGCAGATGTACAAAGCTTTTCTCAGTCCAGGACCTCCTGCTGTGGAATGATGACCAAAGATTTCACCCCGTTTCTCTCACGACTATCAACCTTTGTGACTCTCACATGGTGGTTTCTTTATGTCACAAAAATGAGGACATGGGACTCAACTTAGACTTGACTGCTGAGAGATTCGACTCCCTGAAGATTTGACTTGACAATTGAGAGCAAAACCCTTCAAGTCTCAAGTTTTAACCTGGTAAAAGCCCCAGAACCATAAGACCTGGCACAATCCACAGTTTGAATATTTAATCACTGGGCCTCTGCTCTGTGGAGGAGAAGACATCATTAACACACCTTTAAAAGGAAAATGACCATATGCTTTGACATTTTAATGCACAGCAC